CTGTTTAACAATCCTGCTGGGAACAAACTGCGCTTCCTGGGGGAGGGAAAACCAGAGAAAAGGAAAAAGGAAAAAACCCAGATTGTTAAAGCTGCAGAAATGACCCTAAGTGAAGCGTAACAAGGTTTTGAACCAAATCCATGTGAGTATGGCTGTGGCTGGTGTTTCACTGACCTTTCTTTGGGTGAAAAGGGCGCTGTGGCAACAGCAGATGTATTTTCTGTGACTTCTTTTCTGTGTTTGACTGGAAGAAAATCCCCTCAACCTGATGTAAATTGTGTATGAAACAAATTGTCCTACGGCTGTTTGTCTATTTTTAATCCTGGTTTTAGTCAAGCATCTGGTATCTGTTCTGGGTTCTCCATTTTCTCTTGTAACTGCTATAGTGCACCCCAGTTCAGTATGGAGCCATTGTTTCAGTAGACCAAGATCCCTGTGGGCCTTTCTGCACCCCAGTCTCTCTGTGAACACGCATGCACTCGGTTCAGGGGGTTTCAGTCAGTGCTGCTACAACTCCGTGGGTTCTCCCTTTTCTTTCCCCCTTCACACGCTCGGTTTGTCGATAGCTGGACACGCTCACCTCGTTTTCCTCGGCTTCCCATGAAATCCAGAATTTCTATCTCGTATTTGAAAGCCCTCTGTGAGCAGAAGGACTCTTCCTCTGTAGTGGAATTCTCCCCAGCTTCCTGCTCCCTGTGTTTGTGTTTGTAGCTGTATTAGTGACAGTGCGAAAGTGCGAGCGACTGAATGTGTCTGTGCTGACCTCGCTGGGAAGGGAAGTGCCCCGAGTTTGTGACTCCTCCTTTCCTCTCTCCATCTCCTCCTCCCCACCCCAACACCTAGTTTAACAAATTCTGTACATAGAGCTCCCATCGGTTGTGTCTCTACATTACTCTTCTTTTAAAACCTACACTTATTAATAAAAGTATTGCTTAAGTGTGTTGTATCATTACATGTGTATACTGCACTTTCCAAGAGAAGCTTTACATGAGAACTATGGAAATGACCTTAGTAAAATTGTGGATAGAACTTTATTATTTTTTTGTTTTATATTCCTAAAGCACAGGCAAGCTGGACTGGAAAACATGAAGACGCTATAGATAGAAAGTTATTGTATAGTCAGATACTGAGATTATATGAAAAGAGAATGGATTTTAAAAAGTAACCATCTACTGTATATTAGAAACAAAGATTTCTGTGAATTAAAGTACTTTTAAAGAATGTTTAAGATTTTAAATCTAATGGCGCTTGTTCAAGGGTTCTGGAAAAAAATGACAAATGCACTGGGTTGTTAATAATGCTATTAAATAAGCAGATGTGAATGTTTATTTTATTGCTTTTTCAAGTAGCTGTTCATGGGTGTGGGTGGAAATACGAGATTTTAGGTCTGTTCTTAGACCTCCTTCATCAGGAAATATTCACCAGGTGTTTGCAGAGCGAATGGAAATGAGAGATGAGTGGAGATTGGGGATTTGTTTTAAACTCTCCAGAACCTGTGAACGTCCCACGGGCTCTGGGTCAGTGCTGGTGCTGCTCAGAGCTGAGGAGTTTGTGTGAAAGCTCTGAGGGCACAGAGTGAACTCCCATGGGACGTGTTTGGTGCCTGGCATTCCCCCGAGGGGCTGAGAATCGGTGTTTGGTAGCTGGTTTGGAGCCAGGGGAGGTGTTTGTGTCCCCTCTGAAGGGCTCTGGGGTCAGGAGGTGTCCAGTGGAACCCCAGCAGGGCTGTTGTGCCGTGCCCCTGAGCTGTGCCCTCGTGCTGGGGCTGCTGCCATCGCCTGTCCTGGGTGCTGCAGACACAGCCACAGCACGTGGAGCAATTTCCCTTCCACTCAGCCTTGTGCTTTGGGTGCGGGAACAAGCTCTGGGTTTGGGTGGCAAAGGTTCAAAGGAATAGTTGGAATTTTGGTGTTGGCTCTTGCTTCCCCTGAGGGGCTCAGGTTGGGAAGGGCCCCTGCCTTTGGAAACCTCCTTGTTGGTCTTCAGGCAGATGAGCACAAATTCCATCAGGCACCTTGTTTCTGACAATATCCACTGTGTTGGGAGCAAACACTGCTTTTTCTGTCCCAGGACAGAAGGGGCAGCCCTCCTGGGTTTGGGCTGTCCAGGTCTTCTCAGGATTGTTCAGGGGACATCCCTGCTGTGGGGCTGGGATTGTTCTGGGGACATCCCTGCTGTGGAATTGGGATTGTTCTGGGGACATCCCTGCTGTGGAATTGGGATTGTTCTGGGGACATCTCTGCTGTGGAATTGGGATTGTTCTGGGGACATCTCTGCTGTGGGGCTGCTGCACAGGAGTGTTTTTTGTGCCCTTGTGTTTTTTGGGGAGGGTCTGTGTGTGAACAGGGCTCGTGTGACCTCTGGCTGGGGCACAGCACTGCTGAGGGGAGCTGGAGGATGCTCTTGGTGTGCAGGGTCAGACTGTTCATGAGCTGCTGGGATGTGGGACGTGGGTTGGTGTGTGGAACTCCTGCCTGGTGCAGCTGGCTGTACAAACGTGCCAGAGGTGCAGCATTAAATTCCTTCTCCTCTGGAACTGAGGGCTCTGGATCTGCCTCCAGGTCTCTCACTGCGAGTGGCTTTGAGCAGAAACAGTCCTGCAAATTGTCCAGTGCCACAGGTGTCGCTGACCTTTGGTGCTGGGCTGTGTGTGGGGGTGGTTCTGTATTGCTTTTTAATGAGATTGCTTCTAGAAGTTGGAACAGTTTGCTTCTAGGAATTGGAATACAAGGAAAATCTCAACAGCGCAAGAATGAAGGAGTGATAAATGTTTTGACCCCTTTAAAATTCTAAACTAGTAATTCTGCACACTGGTAACTGTGTAACAGCTACCTGCTCCTGGATGTTGAGTCCTGCCTGACTTGGGCTTGATGGAATCAGGAGTTTCCTGGTAAAAGAATAGCTTTAGACTCCAGGAATTTCTCTGTCTCCCCTGACCTTTGTTTTGGGCTGTGCTCCAGAGGTGAGATCCTCACCATTGTGGTGGCTGTTCTGCCTCTTGTAATAGGGAGTAAATATTTTCCAGTTTTCCTCTTGGTTATTTCAGTACTCTGCCACTTCAGGGCACTGTTTTCCTTGGAAGCTGGGGGAACTGCAGGTGCCAGGGCTGTCACCTGGGGTAAAACTCTTTCAGGTTGCTGTCTGAATACCTGCAGAGTGTGTTCCTGGGTACTGAGTGATGAGAGGGTTTTTTTAAGGCTCTCCCTCTTGAAAAAGAACTTGAGTAGAGTTTGGAATCTTTTTTAGTGTGTTTATATGAGCCTGGAATCAGATACTGCACACTGGTGTTGTGCAGGGCTGGGGAGAATCCTCATCTCCAAGCTCTGTAAAGATTCCTGCTGTCCTCCCTCTCTTACTCTGTCCCAAAGGTCACGGTTTACGTGGGCACAGGCACTTGCTAACACACACCCAAGTCAGAAATTCCACCCAAACGTGCTGTTCTTGGGCAGAGTGGTGTGCAGGACCGTGCTCTCCATGATGAATGCCTTTGTCCTGGGGATCAGTGTGGATCTGGGAGGTGGCAGCTGGTCCTGCTCTGGTCCAGCCTGAGTCTCAGAAGGTCCCAGTGACCCCTGGCCAGTGTGGGACCACACTCCTGGGACCCCAGAGTGGCACCTGAGGGAAAACATGGGCTGCAGGAGAGACAGAGAGAGGGGTTTTTGTAGAGTAACTGGTCAAATGTTCCATATCTGCACTGCCTTTATTTAGCAGTGTCATGTACCCAGCTGGAGTTTCCCAATAAATAAATGCTGGTTTTGATGCCTAATGAACGGCTGCTGTGTCTTTACTCGTGAGCAGTGCCAGAGAAGGGGATCATTTGTGTATCCATGGGTGTGATGGAGAAGCAGTGCCTGAGGGCTGTGATGGGAGTGCAAACATGAACAGTTCACCTGGGCAGGGTTCCCTGGGTGAGGCTCTGTCACTGCAGGGTGTGTTGGTGGTGCATTGCTCACCCTGGGTACCAAGCAGCCTCCTCGCCCTCCTTGTTCTTCCTGCAATTCCTCCTGTTTTAGTTTTCATGTGATTTTCTCCTATCCTCTTGCTAACGAGTCCAATGACACACTTCTAACCTGCCTGTAGTTCTGTGAAGGTAAGAAATCTTCTGTTTTGTCTGTGTGAGTCCTAAGGCAAGCCCAGCCTCCTGGTGGGCTCTTGGAGCTGGAGAAGGACAGGACATCCTCTCCTTGCACTGCCTTGTTGTGCTAATGCAGAAACAAGCCAGGTCATTGGAGTTATGATCCTTGATTTGAAGTCATGGTATGGAGTGTTCAAAAACCATTTGTCTGGCAGTGGTTAAAAAGAATAGCTGCTACTAAAATACCTGCTACTTAGGATTTACTGAAAAGCTGTAGGCTGACCTTCAGTCTTTGAAACGGGCCTGTTATTTCAGCAGGTTCTGGGGCATCCCCATGTATTTCACAAAGCAATTCCATGTATCTGTGGGCTGGCCCACAGGAGGAGAGGCTGCTCCAAGCAGTAGAAGTGCTTGGAGAGCAGCAGTGCAGGATGGAGTGACAGAAGCTGTCTGCCTGTCTGTCTGTCTGTCTGTCTGCTGGAGCTCCCCTCGGGCGGCAGCGTTGGGAAGGGGAACGCTCTGCGCTGGCGGCCGTTGTGCCGGCTGGGTGGGACAGAGAGCTGTGGGATGGTGTGAGGATGCTGTGCGTGCCCATGCGTGTGTCACACATCTCCCATCCTCTGAGCGGTGGAACCCGTGGTGTCCCTGTGCCACAAACACCTTCCCTGGCATTGTTTTCTCATGGATTTGCCCTCCCTCTCCTGCCCATTTTCCATGCATGGTGGTGGTTTCCATCTGAGCAGTGTGACGTTCTCGTGGACCTTGCATTGTGCTGACCAAGGAGGTGGAGCTGGTTGAGTAACTCTCTTCTCTTGTGTTTGTAGGTCTTCAGAGGGATCCGGGCCGCTTCCCAGCCGTAGCTCTTGAGCTCTGTAAAGGAGATTCTGGCAGTGATGGACTCGCTTTGTACAAGGGTCAGCCCGAGATGCTGGAGGTGAAAGCGCAGCACAAGGCAGAGCCAGAGTACTTGGCCAGGGATGGTCCTTCAAGCAACAGCTCCTTCTACAGCAGCGAAGGGGAGGGCACAGACCATGAGGGAGATATTCTGGATTGCAGCGGCTCCAGGCCTTTACTGATGGATTCGGAAGAGGAGGAGGAGACGAGCAAGCTGTGCCCAGGGTTCCTGCAGCCGCTGCCCAGGCACGAGGCCTCCAAAGAAGATGCCCGGTCGCAGGCCCGAGCAGGGGAGATGCTGTTCCCGGCTTTCCGCAGCGGGGAGGTTTTTAACGAGCCCGATGTGTTCGCCACGGCTCCTTTCCGAAGCTCCAGGAAGGTGCCCGATGAAGTGGATGTCTTTACCAAAGCTCCTTTTATCTGTAAGGGCAGCGTGGCTCTACGACATCCAGAGGAAGCAGATGTGTTCCTGAGAGCCCCTTTCACCAAGAAGAAAAGCACGGAGGAGTTGACTTTCCACAAGGAGCCGTTCCCAGCACCCGTTTTCCCGAGCCAAGGGGGCGATGGCCGAGCTCAGCCCGTGTTCCCGTGCCTGGATTCAGCAGCACACGGCTCCGTGGCCCCGCTGAGAGCTCCGTATCCTCCTGCTGGCTTTGCTCAGCCGGGCAGCGTCCATCCCTGCTCCGCCAGAGCCGTGGAGGCCCAGGAGAGCGTCCCTGCAGCGCTGCCAGAGCAGGGCGACGCGGCCGGCGAGAGGAGCCACGGCCACGCGCCGGCCCTGGACGCCGCGCTGGGCTCCGTGGCCAACAAACCTTTCCGTCCACAGTCCCTGTCCAAGTATTCCCGGCACTACAGTCCTGAGGATGGGCCGGGCCTCGAGGCCAAGCCCATAGCTGCTTACAAAGTGGTGTCTCACAGCAGCAGACAGGCCATAGCGGGCTCTGTCTCTGTTGTCCCGCTGTCTTCCAGGACTACGGAGCTGCCTGGTGCAGATCCCTTCGCCTCGGCGCCCTTCCCTTCCAAAGCAGCAAAGCAGAAGCCTTAACGTGCCAGGAGCTGGAGGCTGTGCTCCCTGCAGGACAGCCTTGTGCAGGACCTCAAACCTCTCAGTTGAACTGGATGGCATAGCAATATATACATATACATATATATATATGTGTGTGTGTATATATATACATAAAATAATTATTATTTTTGGTCAGGACTCTATTTGCAGTGATATATAGTTGAACCATTTAAGTTATGTTTGTCCCAGTGCCTGGCTCTCAGGATCCTTGTATCCTTTCCAGTTGCTTCTCACCTTCCTCCTCTCACTGTCTTCCCTCCATTTAGTTCTTTTTTCAGTTGCTTTTCTCAAACCAGCAGTATTCCATATTTTCTGGTCCTGGGTGCAGGAATGCACTACAAGATGAATGAAAAGGTTTATTAATTACAGAGCGAGTCAAGCAGGACTTGCTGATGCTCTGGAAAGGACATGATTTGAGAGGTTAGAGAGGTTAAAGGGTTGTTGTGACTTTTGCTGTCAGTGATATTTGTGCTGCTCGGCAGCCCTGGCTCCAGCTGTGCTGCTGGGTTTGTGCCCACGGAGCCAGAGCCGTGCCCTGGGGTGTGGTGCCAGCGTGGGCAGTGCTGGTGAGAGCAGAGCCAGGGCAGCAGCACAGCTTTGCTGCCCCAGGGCTGGGGCCAGGGGCAGGGCAGGACTCGGTGCTGTGATCCCAGCGAAGCAGTCGGGCTGTTTCTGTTGCTGGAAAATCAAATGGTCACGCAAACAATTCGGCAGAGCTTTCACTTTTACACAGTGAAATTACAGTGTATTTCCTGTCAGGTCTATGCCGAAGTGTAGGACCTGGAAATGTGCTGATGGTGAAGGAGAGATGTGTATTCACAGTATTAATTAATTAGTATAAATGAATTACACCGCTGCCCTCGGTGCCCTGCCGGCGCTCTCGCCTCCTCTCGCTGCAGAACCCCCGGTTCCTCTGTCCCATTCCCAGCTGCTCACTGAGGTTCCTTTTCTGTCCAGGTGCTCCCTGTGCCTGTCCCAGTCCCTGCTCCTGCTCTGATGGATCTCTCCTCGTTCCCCACTCCTGCCTCAGCCACCAGAACTGCAGGAGCAGCAAAACCCCTCCAACAACATTTCTAGTGTTAAACAACCAAGGCATTCCGATACTTCTGGCTGGGATGTGCAGCAGAAATAATTTCAGCCACACACAGCCCAGCTGTGCAGGGGAAATCATTCTATGACACATGAGTTTTATCAGATTTTTCACATATTTTGTACAGTCAGAACCCCATAGAAATTCACTGGTTGAACGTTCATTGGTTCCAGGTTACGTAGCTCATTTCATTTCCTGTTGGTTACAGATCTCTTTGCCTCTGGTGTTAAATAGATCCTCATTCTTTCCCAGGCCATGCTGTAGTTGTTTGATGTTCCCTTAATGGCTGTAACCTTTCGTTATCTCCTTAATTCCCAATCTGCTGAGGCATTAAACTCATCAGGCCTCACCTGCTGGAACAATGGCTTGGAAAGAAACCTCAGCTGCTCTGTGTTCCTCTTCCCTTAACTCAGTTCCCCTCCAAATTATCTCCAGCTGCAAGAGACGAGCCAAGTGTTGTGCTGGATGTGGGGAAAAGCCTGGAGTGAGGTGTTGGAGCCGTGGGTGGGGAGGGACAGCCCTGGAATGCAGGGAGGCCACGCTGGCTCCCGCTTGCTGGTGGACAGTGACCAGCTGAGCCCAGGTCAGGGGGGCTCGTGGAGCTGGGACCCTCCTGCCCTGCGCTCACAGTTAAATATTAACAATATTATATAACAGTATAAATATTGGTGCTTTCTGTCCTCCACCACCTCCTCCTGAAAACAGAAGTACTGTAAAGAAGCTTCTGGGTTTCCCCTGAGATGTTTCTTCAGCAAAGCTGATGCTGTTACTATGTTTTGTTGTTTCGTTTTTTGTTTAAATATACATCCAAAAGGTGTTTTTTTGTTTTAAATGTATGTTCCCCCAAGTGAGTTGTTGCTGGATAGAATCGGTGAGAGACACGGAGAATGACTGAGAGCAAACTGTGAATTGAAGGAGAGTGAGTGTGAGAGCCCCACAAGTCTGTGCCACAGCCCCTCTGAGCCAGGAGCTTGAGCTGTGCAATTCTCTCGGGAGCTGCTGGGAGCGAGGCCAGGCCTTGGTGCTGTGGGATGAACCTGTGCAACAGGGAGATGGAGTGAGCAGCTGCCCTGTGTAAACCATTGCTGTTACCTCTGCTCACCGGTTCTCCTTCCTTCTCTTCATTTTTACTTGAAAAGTTGTTTCAGAGTAATCGAGTGAGTTCTGTCAGTGAACGTCCGGGTCCCACGGAGCTGATGCTGGAGGAGCTTTTGCCTGTCCCTTCACACCCAGAGAAAGGGAAGGTGCACTGAGGTGTGCGGGCTCATTTCCAGCCCTGCTCAGTTTAGCTCAGGCTGAATTTCCAGCTGGCATTTCAGCAGCTTTTCTGTCCTTCAGGCACTTTACACAAAGAGCAGGATAACTGTCCCCCAGAACTCATGATCCTGCCAGACACATCCAGGGCTGAAACAGTTTTAAATCTCTTCTGGGGGTGGAGGCAGCTCATTTGTATCTTTGCATGTGACTCATAAAGTAATGGGACTCCTTATGGTCAGAAAACTCAATTTCAATGCCTGTTACTCTAACACTTCTCTCATTTCCATCCTGTGTTCCTCCTAATCCTGCACTACCACTGCTGCAGCCTCAGCGTCATGAGTTGGAAGTGGAAATTTCATTTCCACAGCCTCTGAAGTTTACTGTTTTAATGAATAGGGAAGAATCATGCTAATTATTTGCCACACAATCAGTGATCTTAATGAAGTAAGACTTATACAGTCTTAGACACAATGGGGTGTTTTGAAATCAGTTTTCTGAAAAGAACCACTGCTTTCATGTCTTTTGTAATGCTGGAGGAAAAGGTGTTCACTGCCCTGGGTCCTCAGGCCCGGAGCGCTGTCACCTCCCTGTGACAATCCCAGATTGCTGCTGGGAGAGGGACTGGCTCTTGGTTCTCACCCACTGAATGCACTAAAGCCTCTATTCCAAGTGATTAATCAGAGTTTCTGCGTGAGTAAAACAAGCACTTGGCTCTGTGCTCGCTGCCGTGACGTTGGGCCGGTGCTGGGGGATGTTTCTCCCCAGCTGCTGCAGGACTTTGGGGACTGTCCCTGTGTCCCCTCTCCTGTCGTGACTCCGAGCCCGTGTGAGCTCTGGTGACACGGCCTCGTCGTGCCACAGCAGCAAAACCAGGCGAGATCTGCTTAACTGCTGAACTCAATCACTCCAAAGTGCTAATTGCTTACTTTAACTCAGCTTCCACCAAAGACTCCTGTGCTGGGCAGTTGGATTTTTGTGGGTTTTTGTTTCTTTCCTCGTGGTGTTAAATCAATGCCTTCAAGCACACTGACAGACCCCAAAGCATTTTTACAGTAATATCATGGCAGTGAAATCCTGCTCCAGTTCTGAAACACATTCCTGAAATCTGATCAGCTGCAATAGCGTTGCTAGAAATATCCCACGGCCTGTAGTTTCTGCGGTAGGTGGGTAAATACCCTCACACACACCTGGAAATACTCCCTGTGGAGTTAGAGGGATAATGTTGATCCTGGTCCCTTGCCTCCAAAGGGATGGGGTGGGAGGGAGGGCAGGGGTCTCGCTCTGGGGTGGGATGCAGCAGGTGGAGCATCCCACACGCGGAGTCTGGTGCTGGGATAAACTCCACTGTGTCCATCAGGAGCCGGAGCTGGGAATGGCTGTGGTCCTCAGGGTGACAACAGCGTCACACACACAACAGCGTCACACACACAACAGGGACACACACACAACAGTGTCACACACACAACAGGGACACACACACAACAGTGTCACACACACAACAGTGTCACACACACAACAGGGACACACACACAACAGTGTCACACACACAACAGTGTCACACACACAACAGTGTCACACACACAACAGTGTCACACACACAACAGTGTCACACACACAACAGTGTCACACACACAACAGTGTCACACACACAACAGTGTCACACACACAACAGTGTCACACACACAACAGTGTCACACACACAACAGTGTCACACACACAACAGTGTCACACACACAACAGTGTCACACACACAACAGTGTCACACACACAACAGTGTCACACACACAACAGTGTCACACACACAACAGCGTCACACACACACAACAGTGTCACACAACAGTGTCACACACACAACAGGGACACACACACAACAGGGACACACACACAACAGTGTCACACACACAACAGTGTCACACACACACCAGTGTCACACACACACAACAGTGTCACACACACAACAGGGACACACACACAACAGGGACACACACACAACAGTGTCACACACACACAACAGTGTCACACACACAACAGGGACACACACACAACAGTGTCACACACACAACAGTGTCACACACACAACAGTGTCACACACACAAGTGTCACACACCAGTGACACACACACAACAGTGACACACACAAAACAGGGACACACAACAGTGACACACACAAAACAGGGACACACAACAGTGACACACAACAGGGACACACACACAACAGTGACACACAACAGGGACACACAACAGTGACACACAACAGTGACACACGGTGTCCCACGGGCCGTGTTCCCCCAGTCCCCTCTGTCCCCCCTGCCTGGAAGATCCCTGGGCTCAAGTTTTGCACTCCGCTTGGGATTGTCTGTTCCTGGTAATCATGAAGAAATGTTCCACTTGTAAACTTATGTACATTTTATTAAAACTGTATCTGATGACAACCACCGTCTCTGTTGTGCCTTCCTTGGAATCTGGGTTTTAATGAGTTCTTCCTATGGAAGTGCTGACTGGGTTTGGCCGTGCTGTTTTATCTGGCAGCTGTAAAGTCAAAGTGATCTTGCTGCTTTAAGCAGAGGATGTTTGGGTTTCTATTCCAGCGAGAACCCTTTGTATCCAGGGCAGGACAGAGCCCTGAGCCCTCCCTGCGGAGCTGCTGCTCCTCAGCGCTTTTAATGCAGGGCTGGTGCCTCTGGACATCCGCAGCACGGGGAGATGTGGGGGCTCACTGTGTGCTCATCAAACCTGCTTTTCGGTATCATTCAAGACTCTGTAATGCAAAATATTACTTGGGCTCTGCTGTACTTCTTAATTTAATTTCTGTCTTGGTGTAAATGTCCATTGTTTCTGTGCTGCCCTGTGGCTCTGCACAGCTCCCTGGCAGGAGGGGCAGCCCTGGGCCGGGCTCTGCTCCCAGGAACAGGAGCGGCCTTAGGCTGGAAACTGCCAAAATTCCTTCCCAGAAAGCGCTGCCCAGCGCAATGCTGAAGTGCTGTCCCCATCCGGGGGGATTTAACAGCCGCTAAATGTGTTAAAGTGTGCGGCACTCGGGCACACGGGCCAGCGGCGGTGCCGGGAGCGGTGCTGGTCCTGCCGGGAGCGGTGCCGGTCCTGCAGCGGTGCCGGTCCTGCAGCGGTGCCGGTCCTGCCGGGAGCGGTGTCTGCGCTGGCCCCGGAGCCCGTCCCGTCCCGATCGCCTCCGCCATGGCCGCCGTTCCCTTCAGGCGCTGCCGCCAGGGGGCGCCGCCGTGCCCGGGCGGTGGCGGGAGCGGCCCCGGGGACGCCAAGATGGCGGCGGCGCGGCGGCTGTGCGCGGCGGCGGGGCTGGGCGGGCGGTAGGTGACCTCGGGCCCGGGGCTCCCGCGGCCCCCGCAGCCCCCGCAGCCCCCGCTCGGCTTATTCCCGCTCGGCTTATTCCCGGAGCGGGCCCCTCTCGCCCCTTCCTCGCGCCGCGTCGCAGTTAGCGGCACCGCGACCTCCAGGGCCGCCCCGGCTGCTCCTTGCTCTTCCCCTTCCTTTCTCCGCCGCGGCCGGGGGTGACGCTTCTTCCTGGCGGGCAGCGAGAGGCTGCTTCTCCTTCTCTGCCCCTTCCCAGCCTCCAGCTGCTGGTTCTGCCCGCCAGGCAGCTCCCGAGTGCCCAGCCCTGCATACCCGGGAGAGCCGTGAGGGGAGATTCCTCACACACCGGGCTCGGGACCGTTCCCGAGGGGAAATTCCTCACACACCGGGCTCGGGGCCGGTACCGGGGGATAAATTATTCCTCACACACCGGGCTCGGGGCCGGTACCGCGGGATAAATTATTCCTCACACACCGGGCTCGGGGCCGGTACCGGGGGATAAATTATTCCTCAAACACCGGGCTCGGGGCCGGTACCGAGGGATAAGTTATTCCTCACACACCGGGCTCGGGGCCGGTACCGAGGGATAAATTATTCCTCACACACCGGGCTCGGGGCCGGTCCCGGGGGGAAATTCCTCACACACCGGGCTCGGGGCCGGTCCCGGGGGATAAATTATTCCTCACACACCGGGCTCGGGGCCGGTACCGAGGGATAAATTATTCCTCACACACCGGGCTCGGGGCCGGTACCGCGGGATAAATTATTCCTCACACACCGGGCTCGGGGCCGGTACCGGGGGATAAATTATTCCTCAGGCGCTGAGGACAGTGCAGCCGGCAGTAATTCCCCTCACAATGCTCAGAATCCTGCAGCCAGGGGTGATTCTGCACCCGCACGTGTGAACGGGATCAAGCAATGAGGAGCTATCAGAAAAGGGAACTTCTGGGGACCTTACACACCAAATGACACGATTTAGACCTTTCCTGTGTTCATGTGTCCTGTGCTCGCAGAATAAATATTCATTTCATGAGACACACCTTCGCTCCTGTTCCATGTTTGAGGCTTCTGGGCCTCTGTGCAGTGCTTGTGTTGTGGTTTATGACCCCCAGAGAGAACCAGCCCCTTATTGAACAGCCCCTGCAGATGGGATTTACTGAGGTTATCAGTTTTCCTCCCATACAGCTGATAAGGGGAGGAACTAGATAATAACTGATGCCTAGTATTTGTGATGTGAGATGGGTTTTGTTTTCATTTTCTGATGTTCACTTTGTTTTGAAACACCCCGATGCTGTTTGCTGTGCATACAGCTGCAGAAATCAGGTATTCACAGCTCTGAGACTGAAGCCTGTTACTCCATCACTATGCTTTGCTTTTCCTTTTAATGTTTTCTTCTTTTTTCCCTGCTGCTCTCCCCCCTTTACCTTTGTCTGAGCTAATACCACCACCCCAGGTGTTTCTTGCTGAGTCCCCGGGGCAGCTAAAAGCATCTGCAATACTCTTTCTTTGGGACAGTGCAAATATGGAATTTGGAAATTGTTAGTAAAGTTATTTTTCTCTAGGTTCTGTCATATGCTGTTAAAAGATCATAATGTGACAACTCAACAGCCTTTCCACCAGCTTCTGCAAAAGAAACCATCCCTTCCATCTGCAGTGTGGCATCGTGCAGGTAAATACCAGTTAAAAATGAACAGATTTTTAACTGGTAAAACATTGTGGGTTTTTATTACCATATGGCAATGCTGAAAGTTTGCTGTTCAATCTGAGGATGATGATTTTTAGTGAATAAAAGTTAACAAAAGAAAAGCCAAGGTTCCCTTTTCCCTGCTGTCTCCTGTGAGATGACGTGCCCGTGTTCAGCAGTGTTCCTGCAGCTCTGGGGCTCTCGGGTTGTGTTTTTAAAGCCTCGTGGCTGCAGGTCTGTGGAACAGAGGGATCACCCTAGGCTTGCTGAGTAATCAGGACTTGACTTTCATTTAAGCTCCTTAGGTTTGATTATATTACTTTCCTTCCTTGTTTTTTTCTTTGCAGTAAGAGGCATGTTTATTCAAACTCAGGACACACCAAATCCAAATAGCTTGAAGTTTATTCCAGGAAGGGAAGTGCTGGAGTCGAGGACTATGGAGTTTTCCACACCAGCTGCAGCCTATTGCTCACCTTTAGCAAGGTATTATTAAACACACCACGAGTGGTTGTGGGCTTGGTCTGGGCTCTGTGTCTACAGCTGATGTTTTTGAGCACAGCTCCCAATCATTCTGCTCCTCCTTTGGAGCAGCTTGCTTGGATTTGAGATTTAATGTTGTCGAAGATGAAAGCTGGGAATGTTGTTGCTGCAGCTGTTTGTCTGTACTCCCCACAGCTCTGTCACAGCAGGAGGCACCACAGTCTGGTTCCTGCACTTGGATTGAGAGGGGTTACAAATCAGGATTTGTAACTCCTTCACCTCTGAGTATTGGTGGGCAGTTACTGCATCGTCAGCGAGACCTCTGGCCCTGATTTCTCAAATTAATTCCCCTCAGAATGCTCTTTATTCAAGGAGTTACTTGGAAATCATGCAACTGTTTAGAACTGGGGAACAGTCAGTGAATAGTCTGCAAATACTCTGAAATAAATGCAGCAGCTCACTTTGGCAGGACTTGGGGCTACCCTGAACTTCAAGACCGGTGGATTTTTCCTTTACTGAAGGTTTATGCTTCACTCAAAGACAGGCTGCTGTCCTGGGCTGGATCTGTAACAGGTCTTGGGAGTGCAGCTTTCAGTAATCAAAATGCACAATCTGGAGTAAGAATCAGTTCTTGGCATTGAAGGGGCTTGGAGCACCATCCTGAGTCTCTGGGAATGTTTGGAGGCACCTCTTTTGTGTCACTGCTTTCACATCAGTCTCTGAAAATAAACTCTGTGTGTGGAAGGGCTTTGGGCAGGGCTGAGACCCATGAATGCTGCAGTGATTACCCCTGGAGATCCCAGGCCAAGGCAGCTTTGTGTACCTTGGCAGAACTGCGTGCAAAAGCAGAAGCTGTGGGGCATGGCATTCCCTCCAGGAGCTGGGGGTTATCAAACACACAGCTCTGATGTTTCCAGAGCTCTCCTGCAGGGCTGTTGGAAAGCAAACAGGATCTTTGCGGGCACAGCTTTGTGACTTGCAGTAATAAATCCAATGTGAAAGGTTTCTGAGGACATCACAACGTGTTAGCAGAGTGCTGAAGCTGTAGGATCTCGTTGTGCCAAGATGCATCAGGTTGCACAGTGAAATCAAGTGTCAGAAAGTGGCATTTTGTTGTCATCTATCTGCAAATAGACATTTTCATCCAGGATGATACATGTGCTGCAGTGTGTGCAGTGGTTGTGTGGATTGTGGGGAAAACTCTCTGCTCTGTGTGTCACTGAACCCAGATTATGGTTTTGGTAAGTGGAATGACTTTGTTTTAAAAGTGAGCATAATTCCCTTTTAAATATAATTTGGAATAAAAATTTCCAAAGAATTAACAAAACCTCCCTGGAGGAGAGGGAGGGAAGAGAATAACTTAATTATTTCAGATGGTTTGGTGCACTTGCATAATTCCATGGTTTAGGTCTTTTCAAAATCCAGTTGATTTAGCAATGTAAATGCTCAGTGCATGTACAACTGTTTCATGTGTAGAAATTCTTTCAAGTGGGTGTTGTGAAATCTCTTTTATAATTTCCATTACACATACTTTTGTGGTACGATTTCTGAGTCTTTCATTCATTGCATTTTTGATGTTTTCCAGTCTTTTAGAAGAATACGTTTTTTTCCCTTTGTAATTACAAAAAACACTCTTACAGCCTTATGCTGTATTTACCTACAAGTTTACCACAATTTTAATTTCTTTTTCTGTAGATGAAATTTTTGGGTTAATCATATTGTTAAAATGAAAACTCAGTTTGTCAGATCAAGTGCATTTTTGCTCATTTCCCCCCCCACTTTGTTTCCTTAACAGACAGTTATTCCGGATTGAGGGAGTTAAAAGTGTTTTCTTTGGGCCAGACTTCATCACAATCACCAAGGTGAGCAGAGCAGGGATGCAGCTGTGTGGAAATGGCCACAGAGCAGATCCAGGCACGGTGGAAGTTCCACAGAAGTGTCCACGAGTGCCCAGAACAGAAAAGCAGCAGCTGCAGCGTGTGGCTGAGCGCTGGAGCAGGATCCCAGGGATGCTGCAGGTTCTTTATCCAGGAGTGCTCGGTGCTGGGCTGGCTGGGCTGCAGGTGCTCGGATGGGAAGGTGGCTCTGGGAGCAGGAGGAGGGAGCTGCTGCACCAGGACGGGGCTGTGTGCTCAAGGTGTGCGGCTCCAGAGATAAGGGGGTCTCTAAGAGCTGGGCAGGAAGAGTGCAGGGCACTTCAGGGAGTGATAAATTGGTAAATGGACAATTGGGTCTCTGAAACAGATGATAAAAATACTTGTCAAATAAACTTTATTATTTGACAGTGTTTTTATTTTGGAGAGTTTCACACCTTTTGAGCTAATATTTTAAAAGCACTTGCTTGGCTTGCAAACAAGGAGACCCTTCTTTGACACAATCTGAGTCTGACTAAATGTCTTTGGCAAAGCTGGACTTGACAGAACATGAACTCTGTGCATCAAATCTGAGAGTCCATGATGGCATTTTTAATGTAAGAATCTCTGTGTAACATAGCAGCAGGCAGGAACTCTTCTTCATTCTTTTTTTTTCCCCCTCTTCTGATTCTCACAGGAGAATGAAGACCTGGATTGGAACTTACTGAAACCAGATATTTATGCAACCATAATGGATTTCTTTGCCTCTGGCTTACCTGTAGTTACTGACGAGGCACCTAGGACAGACACAGGTAAATGAAATCTTCAGGGAGAGGCCAAGGTCTGCCTTTGGCTTTAGCTTTTGTGACATCCAGAGGAGCCTCCACTTCTCCCTCAGAAAAGCATTCAGAAGAATTCAAATTTAAAACCCATTAAGATGAGCACAGGCAGGAATTTGCAGCTTGGAATTCTCTCAGTGTTCTCACTTGCACATTTTTCTTTTCCCAAGCTGCTTCAGAAGAAGATGATGAAGTTGTACTGATGATTAAGGAACTGCTGGATACAAGAATCAGGTGAAAAGAGAACATTGCTGCTGGCTGAGCAAGTTAGTCTTGGGGTTTGGGTTTCTTTAGGGAACTGTGTTTTCCTTTGGGAATGTGATTTCATGGCTCAGTATCTGATGTGGAGGGGTTCAAGTGCAGAGCTGGGAATGCTGTTCAGGTGAAAACTCTCTCTGGTTTTCATGTTGAAGCTCCTGTGCTGAGCAGAGTCCTCTTTGCTGAGTGACTTCAGAGCAGGGCTTGGACAGGTCCCTGGTTTAACCAGGCTGCTTTAGGGGTGGGAAAAGGCTTTGCTTTTACAGACACCTTTTTCTCTCTCTGTATTATAATTGTATTCTGTATACAACTGGATTGTAATTGTTCTTTTCCCTCTCCATTGAATATTCCAAAGTAGTTTATACTCCAAAGGAAGATCTCCTGGTGGAAAATCCTGGCCCTCAGTGGATTTTGGCCTTGCACTCTGTTGTGATTTTATTGGTGCTTTAACACATGAATTTAGAAACTGGTGGTAACAAATGAAGTCTCAGGAGTGGCTGTGGATCGTGTTGTTTACCTGAAGAGTATTTTTGTGCTCATTAATTTCCTTCCAAAGTGAACCGAAAGCAAAAAGCAACTTGACATTTGAGGTGCAGGGGAAGGTGTCTGGTGTGTTTGTGATATCTGATGGTGACATCTTCCCCAGCTCACAAGCTGCAGGAACCAGAAACTTTACACTTTTTTTTTTTTTTTTAAGATGCTGCATTTAAAGTGATATCACGTGATTAAAAATTTTGTTTATCTCGGAGCAGACACACGGTGCTGCTTAATTTTCCTGAAAAAGCAAGAAAAGTAGAAGTAAGCTGGAACATCTTTCCCAGACATTTGTACTAAGTGTTGAAACCAGAAGCCAAGAACCATGTTGTATAAAGCTGTGACAGTAATGTTCAGGCTGCTGCTGGGTTATTTAAGCTCCCTGGGGTGTGTCAGTCCTTGATTTCCCAGGGGCCTTTTATCATTTCTTTTTGTAATTTTTGTAATTTTTTTTGTAATTTTTGAATTTCTGCCCATAATTCTGGTTTTCCCACTTTTTAATTTCCTTCATTTCCTCCCCCTGTAGCCATCAGTGCAGCAAGAAGCTGTTGATGAGGATATCAGTGGTGGTGTATCTTCATTTTATAGCAGGGTGTTCTCAGATCTGTAAGCCAGGCTACACAAAGAGCATTTATTGTCCAGCAAATGTAAATTAATGCAGAGAAGCTGTCAGAAGGTGCAGGATGGAGGGAGTGTACATCTGAAAGGTCCTGTAGTGTGTCAAAAACTTAATTCAAGTAAGAAAAGTGGAATATTAAATCATGATCTTTGGCTTTCTGGAATGGAGATAATTTGCTGTGGTGAGTTTATAAATGTGTCAGGTTCGCAGATTTTTCTGTTAGCACTGTAGTTCTCAGAGGGTTATTTTGGAAATCAGTATAAAGAGCTTCTGTTAGAGTAACTTGATGGTTTTAACTTGGTCTGGAAAAATGTTGCTATGGGGACAGAGCTACAATGCTGGGCATTTGTGGCTGGCAGAGGGAGAGCAGGCTGCAGAAATGCTCGTGGCACTGCAGTGAGCTTATCAGGAGCTGCTTCCTTCACCCCTGAGCAGGATTAAGCTTTTATATTTGGAGCTATTTTCTATCCTTGGTGAATTGTGGAGAACTGCATATTTATTTATGGAAGCAGGGCTTCTTATCACAGGTGCCAGCTGTGCTGCACGCCCCTGCTGTACTGGCAGTACCTGAGGCAATGGTTGCAGGTGGAGGGAGCTTTCTGTGCAGGCTGGGCTCTGCTCCAGGGTGCTCACACTCTGCCCTAAAAGTTCAGTGGTTCCTTCATACACTGCTGCATTCATCACAAAAAATGTTTTGCCTACTGTCCCACAGAAAGTTTCTGTGTTAGACAGTCCAGCACAGCAGGAGTTGTTGGAAATGTCAACCAGGTGGTTGTAGAGAAATAGTGACTGAATCCCTCTATCTTGACAGATTTTGTGGGTATTAAATACTGCTTTATTGAGGGTTTCTGGAAGGATCCACGTTTCAGCTCTGTGAGCTTTAAGTTGAATATTGTTTTCCATCAGGCCCACAGTGCAAGAGGATGGTGGGGATGTTATTTACAAAGGTTTTGAAGATGGGATCGTGCAGCTGAAGCTGCAGGGGTCGTGCACCAGCTGCCCCAGCTCCATCATCACCCTCAAGAACGGGATACAGAACATGCTGCAGTTCTACATCCCTGAGGTGGAAGGTGTTGAACAGGTGGGTCGAGGAGAGGTCACAGAGGTTTTCTTTTCAGGAAAAGGAGCTCTTTGTCTCTTTCCAGCAGGAACAGGCTGGCAGTTAGGGAAAACCAGGGATGTATAGATGCAGGATTTCCAAGTCAGCAGCTGTATCTTGGCAAAGACAGAGAACTCTGCAGGCTCCTGTAGCAGCCCATGGGCTGGGACTGCACGGCTGGGGAGCAGCCCTGGCTGTGGTGGGTGCCAGGCTGGCCTGAGCAGTGGCCCTGGGGCAGCAGGGGAGGCAGGGGACCCTCGCTGGACTCCCCACACCCCTCCTCTGCTGAGGAGCCCAGAGCTGGACACACTTGTTTACTGATACCTTTGTGCTTTGGTGACTTGATGAGATAAAAAGCAGCGAGCTTTGTCCCCCGAAATGCAGATCTTTGGCATTCTCATGAAATACCTGATCTCTGGAGCGATTGTTTTTGTGGCCTTTGTGGTAACTTGACCAGCTCCTATAATTAAAACTCATTTCTTCCTGGCATTTTGGATTGCCAGTTTTTCTTACCTTCCTCCCGAGCCCGTGGTTGTTCAGTGGTGTGGAATAACTGCTGTTCTCCTTGGGCCCAGCAGGGATTTAATGTAATAAATCCTGCAGGACTGAGAGCTTAAACTGTTTATCTAAACTACCTCTGGATTTGATTTCAGGTTGTTGACGATGATGATGACGTGGAAAAAGAAGCAAATTCTACTTGAGCTTCGTCATCTGTGGCCAAATAACATTTACCTCCTGGTGTATGTAAACCATCTCTGTGCTGAGGAGCAAACAAATCTGCCTTGTCAGAAAAATAGTTGTACTTACTGTGAGAATGTACCATCAGTCCAAGCAGTTCAGCCACTAATTTATTAAATGCACTGTATTACAAAAAAATTATTTTGCTCCACTTTATGCTATGTCTTTAGAAAGAAATGGCGGGCTCAGAAAACGGTGATGTGTTTATGTATTGTTTTTTCATACAGAAACTTCAATACTAAAAAAAGAGAAGGCAGAAGTGCCTTGGCTTTTTTGTGAAATAGCAAATTAAATGTTTATTCCCCCAACTTGTAGGACTGACAGGAGTCTCTGCCCTTACTCTGTAAATGGGAGCTCCAGGAATGTTAATTTTATCAAGTCTTGTTAAAAAGCTGCTGATTCCTATCAGATTTTTGTGTGTGAAAGATAACTTATCAACTGTTCATTTTGGAGGATGTAACACTGCCTTGGCTTGTGGAAAGTTCCCTCCTTGCTCATTAACACTGCAAACCATAGCAACAGAAACAAAAAATGTTTGTTATAAAAACCATATCTTCTAAAGTAAATGTTAGAAAAGAATGATCCTTATCAGCTTCAGTAAGTAGAGAGACTAATTAGCCCATTTAGCAGTAAAATCGTTCAGCCAGCATTTGTGCTGTTTAAACATGCAGCAGCTGATTTCTGGGTGTAATTCAGCATCAGGAGGAAGGTGCAGCGCTGGAGGGCACGGTTTGCCTGGGCAGGGTGGCAGAGGGAAGGAGGGGCTCTGTTTGTGTTTGCTCCTGCCAGATCCTGTTTGCTCTCCGGCCTCTGCAGGGGGATGTGGCAGGGCAGGACTCCTTCCAGTCCTGCACGCCGTGGGAGAGAAGTGCTTGCTGTTGACATTGAAATACATAAGTGGGGCTTTGTGTTTACTTCTGTTTGTAGGAATGATTTCTTCCTGGTGCCTGGCTTTTGCAGACGGCTTTGTGACCAAGAATTCTGTTCCTTCTTTGTGGTCCTCATTTGGATTATGATTGGCTTGACAGCCTTCGGTGTGTTCCCTTTCCATCCCTTGCCAGTGTAATTATTCCAATGAGTCCCTAAACAGGATCAGTTCAGCTGGTGGAGAATCTCCTCTATAGCACCACATCAGCATGTGGTAGCCATAAACTTCGCATTACCTGATAGAAATTTGAAAATTGATATTTTAGCTAAATACTTCAGCTTTCACAGAGATTAATAACCCACGGTTGAGTTACCCTCTCAGGATCTGGAAACCGGTGTGAAATCACCATATTTCCTTTTACTCTCTGATGAATTACACGGTGTCTAATTGTACCAGCGTATTGGTGACCAAATTGCTGCTGCAGGGCAGGGAAGGAATGCCCAGGACAGGATGAGCTCTGAGGGAGCAGCGGTGCTGTGCCTGCCTGCAGGGTGTGTGTTCCTGCCCCTCACACCTTCCCAGGGCTCGGTGCTTTCCTGCACACCTGGGAAATCAGGGCTTGAAGTCAGCCCAGAAGTGACGAGGAGATGAAGGGGACGAGGAGAGCCCTGCAGTCCCGGTGTGTCCTTGCCCTGGAACAAAGGCTGCAGGCTTCTCGTGTTCCCGAGATCCGCTGGTCTCCTCTCCGCTGTGTGTTCAGCCAGCAGCAAGTTCAAAACGTGCCTCGTCCCGGCTCCTCTATGTGTCCTGATGTTGTGGGTTGTTTTCTTTCCTTTTTAAGGAAATATTTCTCTATTGACTTTTTAGTGTAATATAAAATTGAATGAATGGCATTTTTCTTAAGCCATTTGTAGCCTTAGGCCTTTAGTAAGTTTCCAAGCCGGCTTTGATGGGGGTGGCCGCAGACAGACAGCATCACTGAGCTCTCCCGCAGCACGGATGTCATGCCTCGGTCTGTAATGCCCGTCCCTGTTCGCTTTGAAGATTCATCTTAATGGTTTCTTTCTCTTGTTTCTGAATGGGAGCTGTTGTAGAAGAGCCAGAGTAAGAAAGCAGAGGCCGTGTCACGGGGCTCCGGGAGCCGCTTGTTCTCTGCCCCAGCCCCGAGCAGCCTCAGGTTCATCACCCGCTGCTCTCCGAGTGCTGCGGAAAGGCCTGCGATCATCCCCTGGCTGCTGCTCCTGCCTGGCGGCAGTGGGAATTACCGGGGGGGAGCATTCCCCTGCGGCTGGGAATTACCGGGAAAGCTCTGGGAACGGGGATACCCCGGTTTGGGGCGGAATTACCGGCAAGGCTCTGGGAACGGGCTCCCCCCCCCCGGGCCGGGAATCACCGGGCCGCTCAGGAAGCGGGCCCATCCCGGTGTCCCGGGGGTGTTTCCGCCGCCCGGTGCCCGTCCCCCGCTCCCTTTACCGGCCCGGCCTCCCCGGCCCCGGCCCCGGCTGCCACGTCCCGGAGCCGGGCGGGGCGGCGGCGGCGCGGCCAATGGCGGGCGCGGCCCGGGGCGGGGCGGGCCGGGGCCTGCGCTGGGCCTGGCGCTGAGGGGCGCGGCCCCGGCGCCTCAGACAGCGCGGCTGCGGAGCGGGACTCGCCATGTGCGGTGAGCGCCGGGCCGGGGGGAACGGCGGGGGCCGGGCCGGCCCCGAGCCGGCGG